TCGAGAAAAACAACTTCTAGTTTAGTCACAAAATGAAAAATTATTCAAGGTCATGCCCTTTGCGTTTCGAAATGTTCTTTGTTTACGCGTTTTCAGTTTATAAACGATGGAAGTACATCAACCTCGAGTGAAACGATTTATTTGACTAGGAACATGTGTGGTACTGTTGATGGAAACAATCAGAGAAATCCCCAAAGAAAATTCTTTCCGATCAATACGACGGCGCCAAAGCTTATAAAATTATCATAAATAAGCCTTATAAATGCAACATTAACAATAACCAGGCATTCGTCGTGTTTCTTATTAGTCTTATCACTGGGAATAAATTACTGAGACATTTGATGAGATTAACTACAAATAATTCTTGTTTTTAATGGGATTAAGGAGGGTTGTCTTGTGTTCAAAAGCCGGAAGCTCTTGAAAGCTTGTGAGGATTCTCAAATCGATACCATTTTTTAATTCTCCGAAAATAAACGTCTAGTTTTATAGTTTGTAATAATTTACATAATCGCTGTTTTACGATTTCCAGAGTAAATATTTGGCCACTAAGTGCTCTCAACTGATTAAAAATGAAGCGTGTTTTTCTAGACCAGGTGTCCCAGTTGACGTATCGATGTGTGTCAAATTTCATGTTAAATTTAGATGAAATACAATACAAAATCGAGTCGGAAAGGAAAAAATATTTTTAGAATGAGTTAATATTCATTACAATGTTTCAACTTTTGGCTATTTCCGAACCTGTAACGTGTAACAAATCGGTCACGATGTTCTGAATATTACAAAAATAACAACTGTTGGCAGAAAAACGTCACCATGCAGTGACAGACACGTTTCAACTCTTGCATCTGACCAGACAAAATAAAATTTTAGTTTTGCAAAATCTGAGTTAAAGTGTTTCAATTCAGTGTTGGACTGTTTTTCGTGCAGGAATTTGTGGTTGTCCCTTGTCAAATTCTTCTTCCGGTGGATTATCTCTTATCTTAATGCAACTCTTTCTCATACTTTAATTATTATTATAACAAATTACCAAATATTTAACTTTATTTAATTTAATAAACTTAAATAAAATCTTACAAATTCTTTGGCGTTTCATTTTATAGATGTATAGCTTAGTTGCCCTGGACTGATGCATTGACACCTTGTTTTTTAAAAGTGTCATAGAGCTGAATACAGGATGTCCGGAAATTGCATGCACAAACTTCTAGGGGTAATTCCAAAGTTCCTATGAACCTGGGTCCAAAAAAGTTTCCTTAGAAAGTTACGACCCTGTAAAGGTGGGCCTTCAAATGTGTTTTTTTTTAAATTATTTTTGTTAATATTTTAATTAGAAAAACAAAACCACGCACCTGTAGGTTTTTTATGATGCTGAATCGATTGGCATAAATATTTATAAATTTTTGAATCTTGGTCAGGGGCGCACAAAATAGGGAGGACTTCGGCAAAAATTGCTCAATACTTTTTTCTCTTAAGACTTTTTGCAAATTTAATACCATAATAAGATAGAAAAAACATAAAAAATGTCCTCTTGGTAAAATGTCGTAGAAGGCACCGTTTTCGAGGCCATTTTTTATATCGACACACTGAAGTAATTGAAACAATTTAATGAATAAAAAAAACATAGTAGGCGTTCTTTAAACCTGCGGGTCCGTGGTTTTGTTTTTCTAATTAAAATATTAACAAAAACCATTAAAAAAAAGCACATTTGAAGGCCCATCTTTACAGGGTCGTAACTTTCTAAGGACGCTTTTTTGGACCCATGTTTATAGGATCTTTTCTTTATATTTTGGGGTATGAAATTACCCCTAGAAGTTTGTGCACGCAATTTCCACACACCCTGTATAACAAGAAAAAAGAGCCCCGAATAAGTTTTATTATAATTTTTTTAATTTATAATTTTTATACAGAGTGTAGTGGAAAAAATAAGAAGCCGTCAAAAGACAAAATTTGTTTTTTTATTTAGTTTCAATGTTCTATCTCTTTTGAAATTTGTTTTTTAATTATGAACCTTCTGGACTACTTAATAAAATTAAAAAAAATAATTTCTCCAAACACTGTATAATGCGGAGATACTTATTTAAAACAAGTTTTTCTTAGAAATAATAAAAAGGATGTTACAATAATTTTCCTCGACGTTCGTCAAGTGTCGACGGCTGTTTTGTTATTAATTGATAAAAATAATTAATTTTTGTTTACAAAGCTAGTTTGTTTATAATATGATAAAAACTATAAACTAATTGTTATTGTTTTTGTGATTATGAACGTTTGAGTGAAACAAACCCGGAACAAATTGTTTTTATCACTCGATAAAAAAATCCTCCGCTGCACTATTTTCGCAGTTGGAGAGAGTTTCTGTTTATTATCTTTTGAAAGAAAGCACACCCATTTCTATTTCAGTCCGATTATGTAAATGTATCATCATCTCCCGAGCTGATTTGGAACACAAAAGTGCACCAGGAGGTCCCCATTACCATAAAACATTCATAAACAAATTATCCCAATCTCCTCTACGAATCAATTCTTCGATAAGAACTAGTGTTTGTTTAGGATTTGAAGCTTGGTTGGTTATCTTAAGGTAGTCTTGACATGTCTCCGCTAACCCATAAAAATGCACTTTATCGCTCTTGTTTTGTTCCATTCTCCACGTTACGGCTTTCTAATCATCAACAGGAAACGCATCATCATCGACGAATTAAATAAAAGCCGAGAGATTATGACATAACATGAACCTTGACTCGTGTTGCTTTTTCGATTCTGGTCAACTTTGAACCGAAACAAAACGTGATGCTTAATAGACACAACGTGAATCACTTAATTGTGCTCAATCAGCGACAAATTCACCGTTTTCAGCCCCTTGTCACAACCCCAGAAGGTTTATTTATGGACGCGACGATGCCAGACTAAACACATGTTGGAATAAGCGACACAAAAAACAACACCAAAATCTAATCACAGGGAATGAATCATTTTACTACTGCTACTTACTGCTTTAATAGAATGAATTAATGAATATGGCAGGAAGAGCTTTGATATTGTACAAATTTGATAAGGAGCGAACTTCAAAAGGAAATACTCGAATTTAGTCAATTTTCGGACCTAATTGCCATCTCATTTAATTATAACATAATTAGCGTGAACTAAAAAATAATAATCTTTTTTATTAAAATAAAAAATTTTATCTATTATTTCTCAGCGAATAAAATTCTAAATTTGAACTCGCAAGCTGGAAAGAGATCTGTCATTCAATATTACAGCTCTGGAGACATTTTTCTGCCAGCAGACGTTATTTTTAAAAGCTTTCAAGACATGTTGATGGTTTTCTCCAGGTTGAAAATTGTAAAATAGTGAGGAAAGACTTCTGACATTGGCTGAGTGAAATTTTAAGTATTAAAAGGTTTAAAATAGGAAATAAAGCCTTTATCGGGGTGCTTTATACATAATTTATTTCCCCTTTATTGAAATAGTGATTAGATTTATATCTAATCTAAATCTAACCAAAATTTTAACAGAACGCTATACAGTGTGTGCCAGAACTCGCGCCCCAGAGAAAAATTTCAAGTAAGATATCATACCAGGAACATGGAAAAAATGTTTAAAAAATTCCATCTGTCAAAAAATTTTTACATTTTTTTTGACATTTGCCATTTTTTTATGTCTGATAATCCTGTATATGTTTTTTTACAATTATTTAATAAAGGTTCAAAAATTTTGCCAATAAAAGCCACAAATAACATTGAACAGAGTTACAATTTAGGATACAGCTTACTTGTTTCCTCTTCTAATAGCGTGTAGCAAAAAAACTTGGAAAATTATTTCTCCAACAGAAATAATAGAGTCAAAGTGCAAACTCTAAACTCTCATAACTTCGAAATTTTTATAAATATTTTTTTTAAATATTTTTTCCATGTTCCTGGTATAGTACCTTATATGGCTTTTTTCCCTGGGACGTGAGTTCTGGCGCACTCTGTATATGCTGTTCCGAAACACCCCAGTAGAAGTAAACTAAACGTAACATCAATTTTTGGGGGTGTTTTAATCAATTTTGCAATTGTAAATTCACCAAAGGAAAAATCTAACCTTTCTCTTTCAGATGCAAATACAAAAAAAGTCAAAAAAATATAAGAAAGACTGATGAAAACTCTCACAAAATCATTTGAGTAATCCAATAAAACGCAATGAAAACATAGCTTTCTATTTAAAATATCGTTAATAAGTTGATACCCATTTCCGCTATGACCGGAAGTGCCGTCATCTTGAAAATATTTTCTTTGAGCAGGATCTAACCGATTATGGCTATGTATTAGCAAAATTTTAGATAAATATCATTGGTAGAACAAGAAGTGCTTCTAATGTGGAGTTTAAACGGAATACCCTGAAGAAATTTGTTTTTGAGAATTTTTGGTTTACCTACTGTTTGTTGACCCCATATCTACCGGGTGTACTCGAGACTTTTACGACCCCATTACGTACGAGTACTTCCGCTTTTATTTATTGCAATTAAGTGTTGCCCAACACTCCCATTATCAAAAAACCCAACCATTATCAGGAAAGCAATGTTATGTTACCCATTGAACCGGAATACAAATTACACCTAGATTACTAGTTTTATTCATAAAAGTACAGTTAAGTATGGTAATAGTAGAATAAATTTGAATTTTTTCACTCGTTCATGTTACGACATCAAGTGCACTGTTGTTTATGTTTTAATAATAAAGTAGCTGTAAATTAACATAGAAAGGAGAAAATGCAACAAAACATATTTTTCATTCAAAAGCGATAAAATGTAGGAAATTTAAACCCACACCAGGGACTCGTTTTATTACTTTCGTTCAAGTTTATTTCCTCTTCAATGAAATGTCACCAGATTTGCAATATTTCACGTTATATTAGAATTTTGTTGTTTCTTTTTATTTTAACCTAGGGGAGAGTGTCCTAAAGGGGACCCCAACTAACCCAAACCTAATTTGGTTTTATTTGTCAATTTACATGTTGTTTTCTTTCAGCAACGCTACTTGACCCGCTTCGGCTACATGGACTCGTCCCCAGATGGCGCGTTCGCCCTTCGAACAGAGGAATCTGTACGCGACGCCATTAAAGACATGCAGGAGTTTGCGGGGATTCCCGTAACGGGGCGCTTAGATGAACGAACAATCAAATTACTCAACACTCCCCGTTGCGGGATGCCCGATAAAAACAAACAGACGTCAGGCAGGAGGAAAAGATTCACGTTACATGGACAGAAATGGCCGTACACGAATCTAACATGGAGGTGAGTAATGAAAATGAGAGACGAGATGGAAATTTTAACGAAATTAAGAGAGGCGCTAAATGAATTAGTTCGTAATGGAAAGGAGAATCATCGCGTGACGATTTTATCAAGACAGCGACAGCAATATGTGCCAAAGGCGACGTCTAACTTGCAATTAGGTGGGGTTGCGACGGGGAAACCCCACAATTTGGGATTTTTTCGCAGTTTTTGATACATCGGTGTATTGTTGGTTGCCTACCTTAAGTCAATATAAAGGAAAATCCCTTGTGATTATCCTATGCATTGTGTAACTGCTGAAAGAGTCGCCTTGTAACAGAGATCAAAGGTTGCCGAAACAAAGGGAAAAAGCTGACTTTACTTAGAATGCATTACATTATGAAAAGTTTCTAAACTTTAGAAAAAACTTTGACATTGTCTTGAATAATCGCAAAATGTTTAATAACATTTCTATTGTTGTTTTTTAAATCTCTAATTTTTCATTCAAAAACTGGAAAAAAGTGGCGTAAAGATTGGCAATTACCCTCAATTCTGAAGCACGTGTGTATATTTGGTTGCCTAATTCCGGTATTTTTTCAAACGTCAATTATATTGCTTTTGATCAATATACCAATTAAGTTTAATAACCGGGCATTATGAAGTGATTCTATGCAATAGGTATTTGCTCTAGCGGAGGATAAGGGGGATACATGTGTGGTAAATTCTTAATGAAATGTGCTTCGCGCTGAAAACTTTATTTGAATGTTGAAAGGTGCACAAGGGAGAGTGGGTCAAATTGGACACGTTTAATAAACAAAGCTTACAATTAATTTTCTATTCAAAGTGGTCTGTGACAGTGAAATTAAGTTGTCAATAGTCAAATCAAATTAAAAAATCAAACTTTTATAGTCAATTGTCATTCATTTCTGGGACGGCAATAATTCAGTGTTGCCAACTTAATTTTGAAATAGCATTTTTATGGGTACAGTTGTCGCCGGAAGAAGGGGCCCCGAGTCGCGTTGAAATTTCCGTGAAGCGTCTTGAAAATCCGGTTTTTATTTATTCCGGGTGTTCCCGCACCGTCTCGTGTCTTAATTGAATGATTGATTTTTGTCGCGATAATTTCGTCGAGATTCCCTCCATAATCTAATAGAACCTCTGCGAAATGGGTATGATGGAAACATGATTGAAAGGCGCCATAAGTAATACGTTCAAAAACCATAGTTAAGTGCCTTGTGGTTTCACCGGGAGTGCTTCCCCAGCAGTGTTGCCAATTTTTCGAAAAATTTTTGATGGAGTTAAGGCGGTGTATGAAGTGTCCTTGTTAGTTTTCGCTGCGTGTGACGTCACCGCCATGTAGGGCTCTCGAGTCGAGTGGGGCCTCTTCGGGGCCCCTCTGGCAATTGTCGATGACACGTATACACGACGCCACCGGTCGCGTTTGAGAGGATCGTCCTTATACCCCAATAATACTCAGATTTTCAAACAATATGCAGATTGGGTTTGGAGGTTTAATTGGACGGATTTCGATTTAATTTTTATCGGGGGACGCGATCGAAGGACTTTAACCTTAGGCAAAGCAATTGACATTTCGAGGAAATATCAGCCGAGACGACGAAAGGGCAATGCGGCCCGAGGCGCCCCCGAGACTCGACGGACGCTTTGGCTAATTAATGGAGACCAGATGATGATGATGGGAGGATGGTTTCGAGCAAAAAATGCCTATCAAGCCACAAATTAATGAGGAAAATTAGACCAAGTTTTTAAATTCTTTAGTTTTTAAGTATTGCTGTTGAGACTGTCAATCGCCGATTAATAAGTTTGCTGAAGAGTGTTTAAAAAAAGAAAATGAAAAATGATAATTAGGATAAGTAATACACAGGGTGTTTTAGTAAAATCGCCGAATCTATTTTTCTATTGCCATTTATTTAATGATAATAAATTTATTATTTTTCGAGTTAAAACAACAATTCTGAACTACATATTGGATAAATTATGTATTTTTTGTTTGTGGTATATACCTTCTGAGCAATAGCCAACTTTGATTTTTGAAGATTCAAATTACTTTTTGAAAAAATGTTTGAAGTTTTTTTTTTGTAAATTTTGTCAAGTATGTATCATATCAATATACAGTGTGCGTCAGAACTCTCTCCAGAGAAAAATGCCATGTAAGGTAATATACCAAGAACATGGAAAAAATGTTAAAAAAAATGATCTATAAAAGTTTCGAAGTTATGAGAGTTTAAATTTTGCACGTTGACTCTATTATGTAGAAGAGGAAACAAAGAAATTGTAACTCTGTTTAATGTTATTTGTGTCTTTTATTGGCAAAATTTTTGTACTTTTACTCAATGATTATAAAAAAAACATACAAGATCATTAGTATCATTCAAGAGACATTAAAAAGTCAAATGTCAAAAAGTAAATGTCAAAATTTTTGGACAGATAATTTTTGAACATTTTTTTCATGTTCCTGGTATCTTTCTTGAACTTTTTTTCTGAAGCACGAGTTCTGACACCCTGTATAACAGAATTATTTTTAAAATAAGCACTAAAAAATTAAATATTTTGATACTCCTATTTTTTATGTTTCTGATATCTTATATCTTACTTAAATTTTTTCTCTGGGACGCAAATTCTGATGTCATAAAAATGCCATAAGCAAAAATCTGTCCTGAAAAGAGGTCTCGCTTAAACAGAATAAAATTGTGTTAAAAGTGGCTGAAGATACAAAAACAGTTTTTTCAAACTATTTTTTTTTTGACTAAAGTTTGATCGACATTTCTGAAAATATTGGTTCTAGATTTTAAATCTTAGAGCACTGATAATTCGTGTTTTAAACCTATTTAATTTGCTATAAGCAGTTTTTACAATTATTTCTATAAAATTAAATTTTCAAACAATGTTTCTGATATCTTATATCTTACTTGAATTTTTTCTCTGGGACGCAAATTCTGATGCACCGGTATGTCACAACAAACTTTTTCTTTCACTTTGT